GTCCATAGTCATCATTCCAACAGTGGCATAAAGGACAGCGAGGACTAAGGCTAAACTAGTTCCGAGGAAGATAGCGAAGATTGCTGGGTAATCCTATGAAGATTGCCCTTCTTCTCCTACCTTTCAGGTCAGTTTCAGTTATAGCAGCTGTGCATCCAACGAATGGGCAAAACTAAGTAACTTTAACAGATTAATTCAACTCTTTTGTATTAACCTCGACTAAAAAACACTACACTAACACAAAAAGTATACAAAACGTGTTCAACCACGTACGACAGTTTACCACACACATGAACCACTGCAGTGACTACCCTTATGAACTGTTGAGACGACAACTATGGAAACATTCTTTATAAGAAAGGTTCACAATGCCGAGTTGCATTATTCAGTTCTGAACATCTGCTTCAGAATTTCATGTGAATTGCTTGAACGTGGAAAGTGGAAAAACAACTATTGTTCAGTATGCATGATTGACTCAGAATGTATAAATACATATCGTTTCAGATAAAACCCGATTCATCTTGGGGATGAAATAGCCCGGGAAAACATTGAATGACGTTCTGGTTAATTTTGAGTTAAATTTACAATTTTGTAATCGTGGAATACAGAGAAAAAATTCATTGTGTACATCCAAGCATATATCCAAGCATACACTATAGGCATTCCCAGTTTTGTGGACACACGAAGGAAACGTCAGCTTAGCGTTAATTTAGTGCATGCGTGGCATCGTCACGGATGCTGTATAACAAACGTTCGGAATATATTCAATATAACACAGCTTGTTTCTCGTGAAGAACGACTAGATGGCATCCAGTGATAGTGGACACTCAGAGTCACTCCATAAGAGATATATTAAGATAGCAACAGCAGTATCAGCATATTGGTAAACCTTACTATTTGAATAATATTATTCACACTTTTTCAGGGTATTTTCGATTGGTCTAGTGTTTCTGAACAAGTATCTATTGAGTAGCAAAGATCTTAAAGTTCGATGATTTGTTAACTAGAGTATTAACATTGAGTTGCAGCTTGATGCTCCTCTTTTTGTCACTTGGTACCAATGTGTGGTTACGGTAATGCTCTGTTTTACGCTTTCCTGGCTTTCCAAGCTCTTCCCTCAAGCTATTAAGTTTCCCAAAATGGTGTTAGATCAGAAAATAAGTAGAGAAGTTTGCTAAGGTTCAGTTCAGTTGATTTTCTTCTTATTAAGGTGTTACCTTTATCCGTAGTGTTCGTTGCAATGATAGCCTTCAATAATCTGTGCTTGAAGTATGTGGGTGTTTCTTTCTATTACGTTGGCCGCAGTCTTACAACAGTGTTCAATGTGGTAATTTACAATCCATGAACTCTTCGTTCCACATCTATAATCACACAGATCTGTTCTTATTTGATTTTGGGCAGTACAACTTCACCGAAAGCCCTTGCCTGCTGTTTTCTAATTATTTTAGGATTCTTTCTCGGTGTTGATCAAGAAGATGCTACAGGCTCTTTGTCTATTATAGGTTAGCATTCATTCATTTAGTTTTGATTGACTCTTTTCTTGTTTCTCCAGGAGTTATTTATGGTGTTCTGGCTTCTTTATTCGTGGCTCTGAATGCTATATATACTCAAAGGTTAATGCTTCAAATGAATGATGAAGATGAACTTTGTATCTAAGGTCGTTGGGTGCTGTAGGCGATTCTATTTGGAGATTGACAATGTACAACAACTTGAATGCCATGTTTTTATTTCTTCCGCTCATGCTTTTCAAGTTCGACAAATTAATAACTCTGTGCTATTTACATTTTCTAGTGGGGAATTTGGGGAAGTGATGTATTTTCCTCGGTTGTTTGATTTCACTTTCTGGTTCTTGATGACTCTGTCTGGCGTATTCGGCTTCATGATGGGATACGTAACTGGATGGCAAATCCAAGTAAGCAAATTTTTTTATTTCTTTCAATCTTATAATATAGGTTACATCCCCTCTGACTCACAACATTTCGGGAACAGCAAAAGCAGCTGCGCAAACTGTAATTGCTGTGGCTTGGTGGCAAGAATTGAAAACTATGATGTGGTGAGTGTCCTATCTTTTTATCCGTTTCATTTTGTTTTGAAGGTGGACAAGTAATATTGTAGTCTTATTTGGTAGTGCTGCCTACACATATGTTAAGAAGACTGAAATGGATAGAACAGCGGTATCAACAGTTTCTTTCGCCGTCGTCATCTTTTCTTTATAGAAAGTTCAGAGCAGATCTACAGATAGGATCGCTCTCATGTCCACACGTGTTCAAAGTGAAGAAGATCGCTAAACATGATCAAATCTTTCTCAACCTGCAATATGTATCGACAGTTTTAAATTTAAATATTTGGACAAATTTTGTTGAGGAGCTCAGCTATATTCTCATAAATTACAATTTTTTAATTCTATGCTGCTGATCTCTACTTGAAAGGGAATTAAACTAATGAATATGCGAAATACTTCTTCTGAAGATGAACTGTTTCAAAGTTTATTATTGATATAAGCTAGCCTGATGCTCAGCTTCAAAGATTGGTTTGATCGCTGGATATTATGGGAGACAAAAAATGAATAATACGTTATGAGAATAACTTCTCTATTATATGTAAATGTTAAATATATTGAAAATACCCGAAGAGAAAAGGTACAGGTGGAATATAGGGATACGCGAAACTATGTCCGAGCAACTGTGATGCTATTCGAGTCTATGACAACATTCCCACCCAGTTGATTTTGGAACTTTGTTATATCAGCACGAAGGACATTAGTTATAGACGAATTATCAACTGGCGATGAAGATGGGAAAACTAGAAGAAACAAGACTTGTAGATCATCTTGCCTGAAATGACAGATATTCCGTATCTTTCACCTGTTGGAGTTACCTGTTCTGTAAATCTTGGAGAAACGCTGTAACTCCCAAAGGTTGCAACGTCGATTGATAGATAACTGTGAGAAGCTGAAAGAAAATTTAACTATTTCTTATTGCAAAAACAAACCGCGTTTCGGACTCGCTGAAAAGCTGTTTGAAAGTTGTTTGAACTTTTCACATCATAGGCTGAATTCGCTTGTCGAAGAATCAAGAACGTACAAACGAACGTTACATTCTGCTAAACCTTTTTCTTTAAGCTTTCAAATTAAATGATACCGTAGGTTGAGGATTTGGTGGAGGGACTGTAGGTCTTGTTGGAGGATAAAACGTTGGTCTGATGGTTGTCGTGGTTCCTATCAATTCTTCAGCGCTCGAAGAAATAACTGAAAGAAAATTCGGGTTCCTCTGCGGATAGCCATGATCAAACCTCCTGTGGCAAAGAAGATTATTATTACGACAGCTGCCAACAGTAGGAAACACAAAAGAACTATGAGGAAGATAGCAATTCGTTTGCTTCTGAGAAACGTGAAAAGTATAAATAAAAGTTGCAGAATCATACGTTCGTTTTCCATTGAAGCTAATGCTGCTAGAATCATTATAACGATCATTGGAATCCCATCCTCTTCTGGCCATATAATCAGCACCTGTATTATGAGTAGAGTAGGATGGTGTGTATCCAGAGTTACTCATCGGATGACCAGAATACGACATTCCATTAGATTCTGAAAAGAAACGTTACAAATAAAATTGGTAAAGGTTCCTCTAAAGTCAGTAGTGATTACTGCCGGAATTTTCAGAAAAGATCCAATGAGTTTTCGGAACGAACCTTTCGCTAACTTACGACTGAGTACGAACACCGGAAGGATAGATGACATCCTTCTCCGGTTTGTTATTCGAATGAAAGAATTCTTCGAGAAGTCAGATCACAGACTTATGTATTTCTTGAGAGCATGTTCAAGATATGATCTGTTCGAAGCTTTCTTCTCTTGCTTCACAACAATCTCTCAATTCTCTGTCTTCGGCTCAATACCGGACAATGATGTTTGCGCCATGAGGGCACATGAGATAGACAAGAGCAAAAAAAGAATTTTGTCAACATAAAATTTGTAGGATGAAATCTGAGATAGAAAAATACACTTCTAGGTTTGAAACAAAGCTCTCTCATTTCTCCGTAGCTTGTCTCCAGTGCGTTAAAGTTTGCACAAGAGCCACAACAAAGGGACACTTCGCAACTTTCTCCTTTTTTGAATCATGAATATTTTGGAATGCGATTTAAAAGAAGAAAAAAGCTTACATGGACATATTGAAGTTGTGAGTAAAAGGCGAGAGTGAATATACAGTTGAGGGGTGGAGGATATAGATCAAAGCTGTCAGCTTTTGCTTTGACTGTCTGTTTATGTGCAGATGAGCTAACAAGGAAGACACAGATAAATAGCCTTATGTTAAATATGCTTTTTATATACTAATTTCATCATATTATCTTTTAATAAATCGTTGGAATTCCTTCCTTCTTTTTTCAAACGAATATTTGCCGGATATTTGCCCAGCATTTGTCTTTCACAAAAAGGTCAAGTTGACAACAATAAAGGGATGTCATCTCCTACAATCGAAAGACTTTCTTATGAACAAAAGATGTCTTCAAGGACTTCTCAGCATGTCAAGACAATTAAGGATTTGTCTCTTGATTATTAAAATATGCTAATGTAAATAAATTCAAATATACCTGGAACCTCTGGCTCTTACTGTAAGCCATGCGTTATCGTCCATTTCCTCAAAAAACGCATTATATTTGCTCATAAATATGAATGACCATTGGCCGTGAAGGTTAGAGACGGATTTCCAACTTCAATTTTCTGAAAAAGTGAAATCAAAGAAAATATAGAAAAATCAGAACTGTCCTATGAACAATTAATACGAAAACAAAAACTTTTTAGTACGAGATAAACCACATGATGTTGTTTCCGGGAAAGATAATTATCGATTGATACAAAAGTTTGGTTGGATACCGTACTTTGTGGGAGTGGTTAGAAGAGCACGTATCGATTAATTCCTTTGTTTATAAGCATGTTAATAGAAGTGTTTGAACCTTCTTGACCTAAAATTGCAGGTGACAGATAGAACACTCATCTGCTCATCCATATATGAGCATTGAACACAAACGCATAAAGTTATATAAGTATTCTGTTTCTTCAGTCATCTCCACAACCTGAAATTCATTCTTGGCAATTTTCTATTGAAATCCTTCTAATTATGTTTTGCATAATGAGAGAATGAATCTGTGAATTGAGAAGGATGTTTGTAGGCTTAGGATAGAACATTCAATTGAATTAACTAATTGTTATGTTGCATCTTCAATCTAACATAATTAAGAACATTGCCTTCTTTACTTTCTTTTTCATTTGTAATCTTAATTATGAGTAATAGAAGTCACTTCGTAAGCTTCTTTTCCGTCATTTCATAAAATTTATTTGCGTTTCGTTCATTTTTCATTGATAGTATTGGGCGGAGATGAGGCTCCGCCTACTTCTCACACTGTTTGACGGCAAACGAGGCCTCTCAAATAAATTTTATTTCTGGCAACAACAAGCTTTTTTGAGCAATGCTGCATCATGTTTTTTCCAATGATAGGAGCTATCATTTCCCCAACTATATCCCGCATTTAAACAATTTATGTAAATTATATGCTTATGACTAGAGTATTCCATAACATTTCCTTTTATAGAAGAATTTCCTTTGTGAGTCTCAATCTTCCGTCTTATGAGGCCATATTTCACCAACAATTTTCTCCCTATTTGACCATTTGAGGGCATTTAAATCCTCTGCTCCAAAATTTGAGTTTGAAATATCTTTTTTTCTTATGTGCTCTCCACTGCAGACTTGCTAGAATTAGAATCATCATGCCTTCCAAGACTTTCTTATAAGTCTCTTGTTCTGACATTCTCAAGTTTTCGAGTACAAAACTCAATTTTCGCAGTGTTCTAATCAGAATTTCGCGATCCATAGAGAACAAGTTGCAAATATAAAAATTCCAGTTAGCATTTATTGAAATTGGTTGAATGAACATGTCAATTATCTTATCGAACGTGACATGCTTGGACAAGTTACTATTTCAATTTTTTTCCACTGAAATTCTCTAATGAGAATTGAAAAATATTCAATGCATTACCTGAATATGCTAATTTCGAAGATAAAATCAGCTGTTGAGTACCATATAAAGCTTATGAATATTCAATTGACAGTCTTAAAAATATACTTATAATGCTATGAGAGAGTGCTTGCACCTCATTTGTGAGGAAGGGGGGAGGGTGAGGTCGTGAGGATCAACCCATAATTCTCCTTCTCTACATTAGATACTCAACTAATCCGCTTATTTATTATTTTTCATGTTCTTCTACCTCTTCCTTCAGTTTCTTTGATTTTTTTCTTTTTGTTACAGTGTTTGTATTCAATCTCATGACGCCATCATGAAAAGAACAGATGTGCGAATAGGGAATCAGGGTGAAGGAGCAGGTAATATAATTTAAAATCTCATGATCATTGCTAAAACTCAGGAAAACTTTTATCGCAATTAACTTGCCTCTTAATCTTATCGACTGTTCCTTTTATATCTTCGATAGAAGGAGATTTCGTATTCGATGATCAGGAATCAATTGTTAATAATCCCGTTGTTCAAGGAAATGTTCCCTTACGTGAGGTTTGGTGGAATCCTTAACTCGATGATTTCCTTTTTTTATTCATAGATTTGGTTAAGAGACTTCTGGGGCCGTATGATAGCTTCACCTGGCAGTCACAAAAGTTACCGACCGATCACCACAATGAGCTTCAGGTTAGTAACCTCTATATTTTCCCTGTTGTTTAAAACATTGGGAAGAGTTTGATTGTGAACTATTGGGGATTGTCTCCTCATCTTCTCCAACAATCGCCTTCTGTTCGAAAGCCATCAGGTCGATCGTATATCTTTTCCGATAGAAGCATCGCTTTTAAAAGATGGTTCGAGTGTACTTAAGATTTCAAATTAAAAGAGCATTATAAAAAGGCCGAGAGCTTTAGCCGAAAGCAAAAAAAGTAATCCCATCTTCGTAAACATAAATCAAAACGAAACCTGGCTCACGTGAACTACCACATCATTTTATAATCCTTCCTTCCAATTACTGAAAATTGGTTAACTGAGCCTAATTAGCTGTATCTAACAAGCAGCTCATATTGCCAATAAGCGGTATTTCTCTTGAATGACCATTAGAGGAAATGAAAGTCGTTTCATACCCTTTGTACGAGACGGTGTTTCTCATATGCTTCATTTAAACTCTTCCAAACGTCGGAAGTCATGATGAGATTAGAACTCTCTTCTAAAACCTGTCACTCTGAATTCCTTTTGAGAAAATGGAATTAACGTAAGATTCGAGCCGAGCGAAAACGAAAAGTTGACAATAGGGTTCTGGAAGAATAGGAGGGTAAAAAACGGTTTCATAAATCAGTGAAGTTTTAGATTAAATGCTGCTGTTGACCTATAGAGGCAGCTGTCAACATCTAAAGTAATAAACAAGTACCAATTTTGCGCGCTTCTCCCATATAAAGCGGTTAATATCTGAAGTCTCTCCAATAACTATGCTATTTCTCTATATGGTCTTGTGTCAGTTATTCGTTACGAACAAATAACTCGAAAACACTTAAGAAACACATAACATTGAAAAGCTTGTTGTACTACGTAATTATTGTCTCTCCACCCTTAAGCCAGAAGAATATTTAATTATTAACCAGATGCTGTGAAACATCTTCTATTTTTTCATCTTATTCTACCTCCACGCCAATCAATCTTCAAACTTCAGCTTTGTTCAGCAGCGAAGACAGATTCGTTCAAGGCAGTTTTAATTGATGACGCTTCTCATTAGATGGCGTAAATAGCAATATCATAGTTGTTAGCTAAGTTTTATGATTGATCATGCAGTTTCTCTTCTGATTATTTTCCTCTATTTTAATTAAATATGGGACAGAAGGACGTTATGGAAATAAATTCTTGACGAATAGAAAGCTGCCGACATCATGTTTTGCAGACAGTTCTACCAGATGTCCTGCCGATCAGCAAATTGGTAGAGATGGAAAATTCGGTTCTGAGAACCTTTTTTGATAGAAAAACCTCTCACTCAATTCGTCGTGCTGAATAAACATCCATCTTCTGTATATTAGGAAGAACAGACAGCAGCCGTCATAACTGATCAGATGATGACATAAAATATCCATTAATGGTCGTTCAGCACGTTTTGATATTTGCACAGATGACTATAAGCGGTCATCGTTTTCAGATTGCCTCACTTCATACTGCGGCTTTCGAAAAGAAGATATCAAATGGCAGTTTCGAGCTTAAACCTCACTTTCCTTCATCAGTGTCTCATCAATTAGATGTCTGCACAAAAATCCGATGACATATGGGGAGATTTTCTACGTTTTGACGCCACCAGCTGGATGAACTGGAAGATTAACAGACCCAAAATCTGACAGTAGCAGATGCTTTCAGACTATTTCATGGCTCCCGTATTTTTTTCCCTCTCCAATCCTTCTCTTTTCTATTTACTTCAATTGGCATGAAGAATCTCATAAATCAAGTTGCTTATTGAAAAAACCGAAATTACTACTTATATCTCGGTTCCCAAAAGAGGGGAGCTGCAAAAAGAAAAAAATGGACTCGGGAAGAGTACAGTAATTTAGCTTTTTGTCGTCATTTGACTTTTCCCAACGAAAAGATCCTTAAACTGGAATGATTCGAAAACTTATAGTGTAGGCGAAAAGTTGAGGACATCTGCCAACATTAATTCGTCAATCGCTAATTATCTTACAACTATCAACTTGATCCAGAAGAAGGACAAACACTGAAGAAACTTACTGTTAATTCTCCGGGGAAACTAGAAGAGACCAACATTTTGTGAAATGCAAATTAGGTGATGATGTGCGCGTGGTTGAATGGTCCCAGAGGAACTTCAGACGCAACTTCTAGAGGGTGGAAACGCACTAAAATAAGAAAGTTGATTGGATCAGAGACAGATTATACGATTACCAATCTGTATATGAATTCATGTAATTATGTATTTGACAAGGTGCTAATTTATGTAATCCTCAAGGCTATAGAAGGGAATCATCTGCTCTCAGCAGGACATCCGTTCCTTACCGTATGCAAACCTATAATTAAAGATTTTAACATACATCTTACTTAGCAAATAAATTTGATTTTGCAGACTTAATCACGTAATCCATGGAAAATCAACATTTGGATTCCATCTTTTCAATATTTTATTGCATGGAGCTGTGGTTTTTCAACTATTCTTCTGCGTCAAGCTCTGGGAAAAAAGTACTTCAACTTCACTATCATTTATGACAGCCTTGCTTTTTGCTGTTCATCCTATACATTCCGAAGCGGTAAAACGATCTTCTCGAAAAATTAAAAATATAGACTATAGGTTTCAAACATTACTGGACGTGCAGAGCTCCTTGCAACCTTTTTTGGTTTGGCTGCTTTGTACATATTTACCAAATTTATACGAGACATGGGGAAAGTTTCACTATCCTCTTGTGCATACTCTTTTCTGATAGTCCTGTCAATGCTTAGTAAAGAGCAAGGATTTTCAGTACTTGTAAGTTATACTTCGATTGTTATGCAGATGAAGACTCATTTCTAGTTGATCTCCTTCTTCATATCTCTACTTTATGATCGAAAGAAACTTAAACAGATTACGATTCAATTATTTATAACCTCATTCGCTCTTATTTGGTTCCGGCTCCACATAAACGGCTATAGTAATCCTGTCTTCTCAAAATACGATAACCCTGCTGCTTTTCTGGATAGTAGAATGTACCGGGTACTGATCAAGTCAAAAACCTTTCTTAAAATCCTCTTTTGCGATATAGGTAATCAACTACTGCTATCTTTGGAGCTATCATCTGTACTTACTGGTTTTGCCAATTAATCTATGTTTTGACTATTCGATGGGATCGATTAGTCTGATTACGACACTGTCAGACTTGAGAATACTAGCAGTTCCATTCATTCTTGGTTTGTTGTTGACTGCTCTATATCTATATCTTAAAATCAAAAAAGATTTACAACGGTTGGGTGTGATTTCGAAACTTATTCATTGTCCAAAATTCCAGGCTTCTTGCTATTTCTGTAATCATAGGAATCTCTACTTTTCTTCCGGCCAGTAATATCTTTGTAACAGTAGGATTCACTGTTGCTGAAAGAGTTCTATACTTTCCATCTATTGGATACTGCCTTCTCCTCTCCATCATCTTCACATTATTGAAAAAATCAGAGAGAATAAACTGGTGGCCAATGATGTGTATTTTAGGATTGGCTTTACTCCAATGTTATAAGGTTTTGAGAACTTTTCGAAAGAAATATTATCTATCAACTTGAGAGAGGAGAAGACTGGTCAAGCGCGCTGTCGTTGTACTCGAGCGGATTACGAGTTTGTCCTGAGAATGCGAAAATTCACTACAACCTAGCTAAAGTACTCGGTGAAACAGGAGCAGCGAATGAGGCGGAAGAAAACTACTTGGAAGCAATAAGGTAACACTGCATTAATCGAATGTTGAACTTTAGATTGAAACTTCAGACTGAACCCACGCTACGAACATGCCTTTAATAACTTAGCCAATATAATGGAAAGGAAAGGTCAGATTAAAGAAGCAGAAAGATTATTACGGATAGCGGTTAAACTGCAACCTCGTTTCGCAACAGCGTGGATGAATTTAGGCATAACGCTTATGAAAAATGAAAAGTTCCAGGTATCTGAGGCACAACGCGTTGAATAATCAGATTCACTTTAAGGAGTCTGAAATGTCCTTCAAGAATTCATTAGCCATTCGACCATTGTCTGCAGATTGTTTTTTCAATTTAGGAAACTTATACCAACGCATAGGACGATTAGAGGAAGCGAAACTGAGTTGGATGAACGCAACAAGGTAAGAATGAATTTCAAAAAAAGCAACAAAAACTGATCTACAGAATGCTAAAATATTTTTTGTTTCAGCATTGATTCTAATCACTCTTCCGCGTGGTCAAACTTATTTGTGGTTTTGGATGAATTGCGAGATTGCCAAGCAGTGATTAGTTTATCATCCAGGGCATTATCAAGCGGAACAACCATACCTTCGATAAATTCCCAAATTGCTATCTGCCATGCCCACATGGGACGTTATGAAAACGCTGAGGAGGCACTATTGAATGGAATACAGAAAAATCCAAACAGCGCTCTATTACATTCGAACTTAGGTAGGTCACCGTGAGCAGAACAATTCAGTTAGCTCTTCGATTAAGGCATACTCTACCAAAAGTGGAACAAACTTGCTCTAGCAGAAGAAGAATACAAGAAGGCCTTAAAATGCAAAAACGACTTACCGAATATTCGAAAAAATTTGGAAACGCTCCAATATAGGATTAGGAACGGCACTCGACTCCATTAAATCAGGAGAAGAAGTTGAATTGTTTCAAACGGTTCCACAT